CCCGGGTCTAGGGGTACAGACGTCTGGGCCCAGGTCTAGGTGCGCGGACGTCTGGGCCCAGGTCTAGCGGTGTGGACTCCTGGGCCTGGGTCTAGGTGCATGGACGTCTGGGCCCGGGTCCAGCGGTGTGGACTCCTGGGCCCGGGTCCAGCGGTGTGGACTCCTGGGCCCGGGTCTAGCGGTGTGGACTCCTGGGCCCGGGTCTAGGGGCGTGGACGTCTGGGCCCGGGTCTAGCGGTGTGGACTCCTGGGCCCGGGTCTAGGGGCGTGGACGTCTGGGCCCGGGTCTAGCGTTGTGGACTCCTGGGCCGGGGTCTAGCGGTGTGGACTCCTGGGCCCGGGTCTAGCGGTGTGGACTCCTGGGCCCGGGTCTAGGTGCATGGAGTCTGGGCCCGGGTCTAGCAGTGGACGTGCTAGGCAGAGGCCAGATGCCCACAACACTGAGACAGTAGGGCTAACAAGATCGGCTGATGGATTGGATGTGAGCGGTGAGAGGAAGTCTTCAGAAGTGTCAGAGATGACACGACAGTTTGTCTTGAACAGCTGAAGGGTGTAGGTGCCTTCCTTGGGGAAGCTACAGTAGACGCGGGAAGCCCCACTTGGGGCTTAATTGGAATCTCAAGGGCCCCCTGGAGATTCTGAGGATGTTGTTCGATCCCTGCGCCTGGAGGTCAGGAAAGCCAGGCTGAAAATAGGACTTTGAGACTTGTGTGCAGAGGTGGTATTTAAAGCCATGAGACTCATAAATAATGCAAGCTGTGAGCCTCAGACAACTCACCAGAGGAGAAATTCAGGCAGCAAGAGGCACCCAGGGAGTGGCTGGTGGGGGCGTGGGACCAGCTCTCAGATGCCATGCGATGGAGGGAGGGGGAACAGAGCCACCCCTGATGACACCGTCCTCACCACACGGTGGCCTGCGTGAGGGCAGGGGTGAACGCCTGTGGGGCCGAGCCCAGAAAGGCTGTGGCAGGAGGTGCAGACCTGAGGAAGTTTGCTGTGAAGACGACAGAGCTTGGGCAGTAGCTGATGGGCGGCACGGAGTGGAAAGGCGGTGTCCACCTCAGAGCTGAGAGAACTAGCTCCGTGTTCGTGTGCAGACAGGGAGAGTCCAGCAGGGAAGGCAGGCAGGCACCTTGTTAGTAACCGGCGGGCTCAGCCCTTCTGCGTGGATGGGTTCGTTGAGGGTTGTGGTCAGGAGAGGGGAAAGAAGACTTGTGGACCTGGGACCTTGAGCCAGGGAAGCAGGGCTGTGTCTGGGTAAAGGGGAGGCCACAGCTGGCAGAGAGATTCCCCGAAAGACTCAGCCCTGCTGTGGAGTCAAGTTCAACTCATGCTGACCCACCGTCACGTGTGTGAGGCTGTAAAGGGGGCCAGGCTGCCTCCTTCTCCGTTGGAGCTGATGGTGGATTCGAACTGCTGCCCTTTTAGTCAGCAGCCTAACATGTGGTGGGGGAGGGTGGGTCAACGTGGTAGGCTTCTGGGGGAGGGGACAGAGGGGTCACTGAGGCTGAACCTGAGGAAGAAAGAGATGCTGGAGGTTTGAGAAGCTGGGAAGGCGCCCCCTGCGAGGCTGGAGGGGGACACACCAGGCGCCCCAGCAGAGTAGGGGCACTTGGGACAGGTGGCCGGGACGGCCACGAAGCTTCTCTACCTGTCATCACCTGGTCCTGCTCTCAGTCAAAGTTCTGGCGGCTCAGTGCTAAGTTGTGCTGCCAATCTAGAGCCAAGTGGTTCGAATCCACCAGCTGCTCCGTGAGAGAGAGATGGGCAGTTTATAGCCCCTGAAAACCCGCTGGAGGGTCAGCTGTGAGTGGACTACACCTCAGCAGCACACAACATCCATGCTTGATTCTGTTCTCGGACAGACGGAGGGCTGTGCTCTCGATGCCCAGTCTCCCCCCGCTCTGACCCTGGGGCTTCTCTCCACACCCCTTCTGCTTTAGTCGGCTCCTGAGAATGAGGGGGGAGAAGGTCGTATGTTCACAGGACCCCCGTGCTCGGCATGCAGGCTGCCTGTGAGGACGGCCCGGTGTTCACTCCCCTCCAGCCTCAGGGACAGACGTGCAGGTGGGGGTCAGAGATGGCCTCAGCCAGGTGGCCACCACGCTGCCTACCACAGTGACTTCTCTTCCCCTTATTAGATAAAGTAGCTTCAGAAAATGGTCCTTTATTTCCTAAAAGCTCCCCTGCTTTATCAAAATTGTTTCAGAAAACGGTAAGGAGACCGTTTGCCCTGGTTTCTTTTTAAACCTGGCGTAGGTCGTGAACACTGGGTCTCTGGGGTGTTGGTCCTGTCCTCACGACACCTATTAATAGTGCCTTGTCCCTCACCTGCCACCCTTGGCCCGTCTCTGGGGCTTCTCTCGCTCATCAGGGCCCCACATCTCAAGGTCACTTTGCCCGTCAGTGGCCTCCAGCATCCCGGCCCTCGGTCAGTGCCCATGCTCTGCCTTACTCTTCTCTGAAATTACATTTCAGCAAAAATCTCTGAGCATCTGTTGCATGACACTGGGGATACGGAATGGTAAGACGAAGTCTCGGCCCAAATTCAGCAGCCGGTTCCGCCCTCTGCCCACTCTGTTCCAGCCAGTGAGGGCCAGCCACTCATCTCCTCACCAAGCCCTCTGCTTCCCCCGGCATCACAGGGAACCCCAGAGACCCCTCGTCCCTCATCCCTACCCCACCCGGTGCTCCCCGATTCCTCAGTCCTCTCCCCACAAACCCTCCCTGTGTCCACTGCGTACCTGGAACCGCAGCTCCTGGGCCTCCAGCCCTTACCTTTTGTCCACTTTTCATGATTTGGTCAAAGGTCCCCTTCCTGCGTGTCAACCAGTGGGTAATAAGCATCCCCTCTGCCAAACGCTGATGGCTTCATGGTTAATGCAAACACATGCAGTTCAAGTCCCGTCACACCCAACCCAGAGCACGCAGAGACCACCCTCTCTCCCTTCTGTGCAGCCACACCATGTCTGAGCACGGGAGAATGACGGACACGGAGCGAGATCAGATCGACCAGGACGCCCAGATATTCATGAGGACCTGCTCCGAGGCCATCCAGCAGCTGAGGACAGAAGGTAACACGCCCTGGCGACGCCGCAGCCAGCGTGGCCGTGGTCACCCGGGGGTGCAGCCAGTCATCGTCTACTCACTGGTGTGCAAAAGTGAGTGAGTGTGTGTGTGTGCGCGCACAACAAGCAGGAGCGGGGGATAGAGCATACCTCCCCGTCCAGAACCAGGGCTGCCCAGTCATCGTGCAGACCCTGCGCACGTCACACGCTGTGCGGTTTGTCATATATTCATGCTGTGTTCCCAGGTCACCCAGCCCTCCCTCTCTCCTGGGAGCACCCTGTGTGTTACATGGGTGCGTGTTATTCAGGTGGGTGCGTTCTATATGAAAGTGCAGTTGGACAGGACCAGCAGTAGACTGGATAAATCGAGTCTGTCAGCCCACGTGTATGTCCATGTTTTATGGCTGATGGCATGTGGGTAAGGATGGCGGAGGCCGTCCTGAGCTCTCTGCTCTGAGGATAGTGTGAGGATAGAGCCCTTTTAGGGAAGGACGTCACCTTGACCACTGGCCTTGCCCTGACTGCGGGCTCCTTCCTGTAACAGCACAGTGCCTTCCCTCGCCCCGACCACGGACCTCACTCAGTGCCGCGGGCCTCGCGCAGACCACGGACTTCACTCTGACCTCGGGCCTCACTGAGTGCCGTGGGCCTCGCCCTCACCCTGACCACGTGGGTCTCACCTTGACTGTGGGTCTTGCCCTGACTGCAGGCCTTGCCCTGACCATGGACAGAGCAGACCTCACTGGGGTCACCTCTGAGGTGTCCGGGTTCTTAGCACCAGTGTTCGCGTGGTGCTGACAGAGTCCTGACAGGAACGATTGAAGCCGTCAATGACTTCGTCTTCCTCGGATCCACAGTCAGCACCCGTGGGCAGCAGTCAGGAGATCAGGCGATGCATTGCACTGGGAAAGCCTGCAGCCAGGGCCTCTCCAAAGTTTTGAAGAGCAGCGATGTCAGTTGGAAGACTAGGTTGTGCCGATTCAGTTCATGATCTTTTCAGTCACATGCTGTGCGTCTGAGAGCTGAGCAGTGACGAGGGATGAGAGAAGAGTTGACACCTTTGAGCTGTGGGGTTGGAGGAGTGCTGACTATCCCACGGACGGCCGAGAGAACAGGCATGTCTGGGAGAAAGTGCAGCCCGAGTGCTCCTTGGAGGCCAGGGTGCTGCAGCCCTGCCTCTCGTACCTCAGGCGTGTTCTGGGAGGTTTATCCTCGGAAAGAACGTCATGCGTAAGCAGCTGGAAGGTTAGCAAAAAGGAGGAAGCCCCCTCAGTGAGACGGATTGACACGGTGACTGCAGCATCGCTCAGGTGTGTTGGAGATGATGAGACAGCACGGAGAGGGCAGGCTTCAGATCTGGTGTCCAGAGCGTCGCTGTGAGCTGTGCTCGACCCGATGGCACCTGACAACACGCAGAGTCTTGCAGGCCGTGTTTCCTCAGTGAATGGTCTTACCATCCGTCAGTGGACGGTCTACCGGCAACTGTGACGTCATCCCTAGCGAGTTGCCCTGTCAGCCCAGAGGCCTTCTCTCTGTGGTTTTCACCACAGCCACGGTGAAGGAGGAGGAGGGGCTGTCCCCTCCCATGCGATGTCCACTCTCAGAAACCCGCTGGAGGGCGAGCTGCACGTCAGTGCTGACCCCACAGCAGTGAGGTTGAATCTTAACCAGAATAAGGACCGCAGGCTCCAAAAACGCAAGGGTAGGGGTGGGTGGGGGGGCACATAAACGGAACTTCACGTCAGTGAGGAGTAATGGGGGGCTTGTGAAAGGCCGTCTGAGGTGCTGGCTCTCCCTGTCTAACTCAGAAGAAGAAAAGAGGTGTAGAAGCCATTAGTCCAGAGGGCTGCTGGGCCACGTGGACCTCCACCTCCGTGACCCTGAGACCAGGAGGACTCCCGATGGTCCTCGGCCACCAGTGCTGACCACAGCAAAGGGGACCGCAGTACGTGGTCCTGACGCAGCAGGAGATGCAGAACAAGACTCAAAGCCACAAAAGTGACCAGGTTCCATGGACACCTGGGGGACGCCTCAGACTGTGACCCTTATCTATCATTGGAGCCTGGAACTGAAGTCACCCCTTAGCTCAGCCTGTCAGCCAAGCACTGGACAGACCAGGAAGTAGCCAGGGTCTAGTATCACCAGGAGGCACTTTATGTTAGAACAGTCAGCCACACGTGTCAGAAGGGCAGTATTTGCTCAGAGAGAAAGCTAAGAGGGCAGGAAGAGAAAGGCTGGACAGATGAATGAGAAGAGTGACGGAGGAAGTGGGACGAGTGTGGTTACAAGGAGGAAATTGTCATTAATGCCGTAAAACAGAGTCTGTAGGGATCATTGACTGGGAAAGGTCTGTAAACTTAGAGCACAGCTGTGAGAGGGACGGATGGTGTGGTTCACAGAAGAGAGGGGCCCTGGTGGCGCCAGTGAGGTGAGGAGGGCTTCCTGGAGGAGGCCTCTCCAGTGGGGAGTGGACAGACCAGAACACGCAGGCTCAGGCAGGGAGGCGTGCGTGGCTGCAGTTTGTGTTTGAGGGCGTCATGTGACGGCCGGGTGAGCACTGGTCACTGCTGATGCCGACGGGCTCCCTCGCCAGGCCACCTGACAAGCCGTATGTCCCGTGACTGGTGGGATTTTTCACTGGCACCGTCTTCCACTCAAGGAAGGCCTGACTCATCTTACTCTTTAAAAAGTGTGGTGCCATTGACACGGCACCAGGACAGAAACCCCAGAGCAGCGGCAGCCGTGGGGCGGGTGGGCGAGGGTCCCCCGCGTGGACGGAGGCTGAGCCTGCCCTTCTCTGTCCCAGCCCACAGGGAGACGCACTCGCAGCAGGTCAAGGAGCACCGGAGCGCCGTCCTGGACTTCGTGGAGGACTACCTGAAAAGTAGTGTCCCCTCTCCCGGGCCCTCGGGGACTCTCACCGGCCAGCCGCGCAGAGGGGGCTTCCCTCTCGGGGGACCGCCATCCTGTCCACAGCAGCGCTCTGAAATGACCTCTGTTCCTCTGTTTCCCGTACAGGAGTGTGCAAGCTGTACTCGGAGCAGCGGGCCATCAGGGTGAAACGCGTGGTGGACAAGAAAAGACTGTGAGTGGTCCCCGCGGGGTGCTGGGCCTGGGAGACTGCAGGACGCCAGCACGCACACGTGTGTACACACACACACACACACACACACACACACACACACCTTGACTGTGAGTGGTCCCTGCGGGGTGCTGGGCCTGGGAGACTGCAGGACGCCAGCACGCACACGTGTGTCCACACACACACACACACACACACACACACACCCCTTGACGGTGAGTGGTCCCTGCGGGGC